ACGCAGGCGCATTCTCATTTGGTTTTCACTTCAGCCTCAAGGCGTAGGTCGGGTTTACTTCCAATTTCCAGATGGGGAGATTGAGGGTCCCAGAACATCAGGGCCCACTCCAGGTTACAGAGCCCCCACGTTAAAGCTGGGGACGCCACCAGCCTCCTGGCTGTGGCTCCAGTGCGCCTGTCCCCCTCAGCCACTTTCCTGCACTGCCCTGCCAGCCACTGCTCACTCTGGGTGTGATTTATGAGTAGCCAACACCCCCCACGCCGGGCTGGGCATCCCAGACCAAGGCCTTCTGAACACCAGGGCTGTCGCTGGTGGGGCCCAGTCCTCGGGAGAGCCTGAGCGGTCAGGGAGGGAACAGAGCAGGGTGACGACTCCAACTCCAAGGAGGGAGGCTGAGAGGCCGCCAGTGCCACGGAAGAATACGCTCTGGCTGGGGACGGCTGTGGCCATCGCCTGGGTTCTGCCACAAACTGTGTGGTGTAAGCAGGTCGTGCCCTGGCCTCAGTTTCCTCATCTATAAAATAGTGGGCAGCTCGGACCTGGAGCCCTCCCAGCTCTGCCCTGCTGTGCTCTGTAAATAGCTGGGGTGCTCCACGGCCAGGCATGACTCGGGGCGGTGAGTGCACATTCCCGGGAGGGTCTCAGTCGTGAAAAGAGGTGTTTGTTTTAAGTGCCAGGCTTTAGAGGGCGGGAGTCTGCCTCTCCTGACATCAGGATCACAGCCTCACTGGTGTGGCTCCTGACCGGCCGGGGTAGCAGTGTCCTCTGAGTGTGGGCGTCCCTGTGCAGGCCTGCGGGTCTGGGGGATGAGACGAGCAGGTGGCAATTGTCTCCTACCCAGCCAGGGTGGTGTCAGAGCAGCCCTGCCGTGAGCTTTGAATGGGTGCACGGTGCTCCTGTACCAGCTCCGGGTGCTGCTGGGTCCTGGGGCCTTGAGGGAGGAGGCAGGGGTGGCTCCAGATGTGCTTTCTTTCCGCAGCCGCCGAAGCCCTGACCAGGGACTTCTCAGTGCTCAAGGTCCGGCCGCTCACGCAGGGAACCAAGCAGTCCAAACTCAAAGCCTTACAGAGGCCAAGTAAGGAAGCGGCCGTCCCTGGCGGGGAGGCTGCGGGAGTGGGAGTGTGTTTGGTTGGGGTGGGCTGGGGTCTTCCCCTCTGTTTGTTCCCTGCTTTCAGTTCTCTGCTCCTTAGAAGCCCTGGGCTGCGGTAGCCAGTGGGGCCGTGCCCCCCTCCCCAGAGGGTGCTGAGGGCGGGAGAGCCCCTCTGAGTGGCAACTTCTGCTCACCCAGGGAAGGCTTGGTCTTCCTTCTGGAGGGCCGTGGAAACCATGTCCTGCAGGGGAAACAGGAGCCTGGGCTTTGGGGTCAGCCCTGGGTGTGACCCCAGCTCTGTCACTTATTTCAGTTGACCTTGAGCAAGTCACTTGGTATGTGAGTTGGTTTCTTCTCTGTAAAGGAAGCAGATCATGCCTGGAGCCCTAAAGGCACACAGAAGGTGCCCAATAGGTGTTAGTTCCTCCCCTTTCCTCTTCTCCCAGGAAGCATGGGGGTGTTTAGGGCCAGTTTTCCATGACTGTGAAGTAATAAACAGGCCGGGGAGAGGCCTGCTGAGGCTGTCCCTGCTCTGGGCTGGTTACATGGCTTTTGTCCCCGGCTTCGTGGAACAACCAATATCCTGTCTGTGGGTCCAAGAGCTCCAGGTGTCCCATCTGGACTTGCTTTCCCTCCCAAAGGACCCTGTAAAGCAAGGAGGTGGCAGGATTAACCCTCCCACCCTACTGTAGACACAGAAACAAGGTGCTGGAGGTGACAGGTTGGGTCAGGACCCCTCAGGGAGCCCTAAACAGGCCCCTCCTGTGAGCATCTCGCCACACTGTGGGCACAGCTGGGCCCCAGGCCCCAGCCACAGGACATTAGAGGTTGGCTCACACGGCCTCAGGCTGCTGTCACGGGGGTAGAGGTGGCCTTGAGTTCAGGTCCCCACCGTGGGGCTTCCCTTCTAGAGCTCCTGCGTCTGGCGAAGGAGAGGCCACAGACAAATGCGGCGGTGGCCCGGAGGCTGGTGGCCCGGGCCCTGGGGCTCCAACACAAGAAGAAAGAGCGGCCTGCTGTCCAGACTCTCCTGTCGCCCTGAGGCCCCGGAGGCCCAGCCGGACTGGGTCCCGCCGGGGCTGAGCTGGGCCCCAACACCACAAGCCTTTACAGACACCAGAGCAGCCCAGCGCCACCGTGGGAGCCTCCCCGTGGGGCGTGCTGGGCTTTAGCTTGGTCTAGTCCCAGAAATAGAGAAAAAATAAAAACTCAAGTTGTTCTAATGCAATTGCTTCAAAATGTAATGCTCCGAGGTGTGACACAAGGGGGTGCTGTCCCACTTCGCAGGGCAGGCTGTGGCTGCCACTCAGGAAATTGGCCCGGAGGATCCCAGCTGGCCTCGAGGGCCATTGTGCGCAGTTGGCCTGTTTTGGGGTAGGTTGTACCTGCTCTGTGATACCTGCCCAGATCCTCCAATAATTCAGGTGTCCCAGCCTGCTGGCGTGTGCTGCAGGGCAGCTCTGGGACACTTGGGCTGGCCCCAGTGGTGCCTGTCTGCGTGGGTTACACCAGGTGCCTGCAGAAATAAACACCAAGCCAAGAGGTGAGATGAATGCGTGCCCAGTTTGCTTCCCTACTGGGAACAGGTGTGAGGCATCTTTGTGGGGGTGGCGCCCTCATTTCTTCTGGTTTGGGTGGAGTTGGTGCCAAGGTGCCCCCACCTGGAGCTTTGAGGTCACCGTGGACGCTCTGACTTGCTGAGCCCCAGCGTGCTTGCGACACAAGCGGGAAACCTGCTTCTGGGTAAGAGGGCCGGCTGGGGCCATCCACCCCACTGCCGCCAGCCAGGAGAGCTTGGAGCTCCTGCTCTGCCGACGTACCCCTACTCCTTTGGGACGCTGCCCTGTGACTGTTTCAGTCTAGGTGTCCCATTTGCTAACGCTACTGGACCTCCTGGCAATTTCCAGTACAAAACAGCAGGAGTTCCAGAAAGGATACGACTCGTGTTCTTACTCATTTTTGTGATCTCCTTAGACTGTTGCTCCCAGAGGTTGCACCTTTTCTACTGAAGGAGGCCCCACAGCCACCGGGACTGCCGGGCACGTGGGAACCCATCTCCATGGGAGGGAAACTGGAAATGTATCCGAAGCTCCGCTTTGGGCGAGCAAACAGCAATTCTGCTAATCAGGGCCCAGGTGCAGTGGTTCAAATGAAACAGATGCATATCATACATTTTTTTTTGGAGACAAAGTCTTGCTCTGTCGCCTGGGCTAGAGTGTCATGGAGTCAGCTTAGCTCACAGTAACCTCAAACTCCTGGGCTCAAGCAATCCTCCTGCCTCAGCCTCCCGAATAGCTAGGACTACATGCACACACCACCACGCCTGGCTAATTTTTCTATTTTTAGTAGAGATGGGGTCTTGCTTTTCCTCAGGCTGGTCTCAAACTCCTAACCTCAAGCAATCCTCCCGCCTCAGCCTCCCAGAGTGCTAGGATTACAGGCATGAGCCACCGTACACAGCCTATCATCATACATCTTTTATTGCATCTTTTATTGCAATTTTCAAGTATGTGTAAGTGTCTCTGATGACAGATGGTGTTTGGTGAGCATCCTGTCACCCAGCACCCTGGGGATAGCACCGTTGAATCAACAACCAACAGAACTGGAGCAGTAGGAACAGGAGTCACTTACACAGGTGGGCTGGTTTTTCTTCTGAGCTGTATTACCCAAAGTCCAGATGCCTACTATTAAATGCCACTAACTTTCTTTGTGTTTCAAAGTCTGTGAAAATATAATACTGGTATCTTGAAAAATATAAGGTGGTAGAGAGAAAAGCATCAACAATGAGCTCATGTAATCAGAAAGCGTGGCAGCATCATTTATATATGTGACAATGCGAGAGAAGCACCAGCTCTGAGCTCATTTAACACATTGACTGCCATGTGAGTTGTATTTAACTCAGGCTAGTTTTGACCCGGGGGTCATGAAAAAAAGCCCTACAGCTGGTTCCTGAAAATCTTACTTATTGATGTTCTTATTGTTACAGTTAATATTGTAACAATTAATATGTTACAAATAATTATAACAATGAACATTACAAATAATATTGTAATTTAATTCTAAAAACATGGATTGCATTGCATAATAACTCATGCACAGAAAACAGTAAAAAATAACAAACTAGACAGGATCGTTTTGTTTTAATAAAACACCGTGGCTCCAGGGGAAAAAAATTTTTTCTAGTATGGCAGTCAAGGTGTCAATCAGAAAGTGTGGCAGCATCATGTATATATGTGTGTATATAGCAACGGGCTAAGTAGAGGCAGTTGGTTTAGTTGGAAGAGAGGTCCAGATATTCAAGTTTGCTGGAAATAACTTAGGAGATACGGAGTTCAGCCTGTTCACCTCTGGGGTTGATAAGCTCACATCTTCCCACAGGTAACTCGAGAACGGCCCTGTGTTACCTGTGGTGAGCTGGGTGGCTGGGCTGGGACAGGCTGGTGACCACCTGTTTGTGGGCCTGGGGTCCTGGGCAAGGCTGGCTCTTGGTGCTGCTCCCACGGCCTGTGGACAAGCCCCAGCCCCCAGAGGCCTCCCCAGGCCTTAAAGGTCAGGCGGCAGCCCCGGTGGATGATGGGACCGTCCTCTTCTTCCTGAGCTTGGACACAGCCACCGCGGGGTCTGGATGGGGCGACTGGTCAGACTTAGTTGTTGGGGGAAGTCCCAGGGAAGATGTGTGTGGCCTGAAGACAGGAGGTGACCACGGAGGCTGCTTTTCTCTTTCTCTCTCTTTTTTTTTTGTTTTTTTTTGGGACAGGGTCTCACTCTGGGCTGAAGTGATCCTCCTGCCTCACCCTCCTGAGCAGCTGCGACCACACCCTGCTGATTTCTTAAAAAAAAATTTTTTGTAGAGATGAGGTCTTGCTGTTGCCCAGGCTGGTCTTGAACTCTTGGCCTCAAGTGATCCTCCCGTCTCGACCTCGCAAAGTGCTGGGATTACGGGCGTGAGCCAGCACCCAGCCCACGGAGGCATCTTTACTGCGGGGAGAGCTGGTTATTTATGAGTCCGCTGAAGTGCTCAAACTTCTTTTCTGTCTCTTCGCTGAAAGAGCCACCTGCGGAGTAGGAATTGGAGAAAGAGCTGGGCAAATCAGAAGCTCGGCACTCTCCTGAGCAGGGAGTTGGCCCGGGGCTCTGCTGGGGCCACCTCTGCGACCCCATGGGGGCAGGGACTAGGTGCCGGCCATCTCCAGGAACAGGCAGGGAGCGGGTGCTGGGCACGGCTGAGTGAAAGCACTTTACTTTTTACCTTCACCAAGAGGGAGGGCTGTCACTTCCTGCAGAGGAAAAAGCTCTTTCCCTCTGGTTCCCCAAGTCTCATGACCCAGGGAAACTATCTTTACTGGAGACCAGAAGTGACAGTGGTTTGCTGGCTTCTAGTTCGTGACAGGGAAACCTGATAGGCAGAGCCCACAAATTGCTACACCCACACTTTTGAGGCCACGTGCATAATGAGTTAGTGGCCTCGGCTCCAGCCCTTAAATAGCCCTGGGGTCTGCCCTGGGCCGGCCTGGTTCGGTACCACCCTCCCGCTGTGGCCAGAGCTGGCTGTAAAAGCTCAGTCCCCACCCGGCCTTGTGTGTCTGCGGTTTCCTTCCCGAGCGTGGAAATGTGACACTGGCTCTATTCCCCAAGCTCCTTTCCCAAATTAGGAAGCTGCCTCTGGTTCCTCGAGAAAGTAGGGTAGCGCTGGCCTGTTCCCGGAGGGTGGGCCGACAGCCCCGGGCAGGGAGGGGCAGCCCCGGGCCTTACCTATGTGGCAGTTGTACATCCAGATGCGGTGGCCGTCGTAGCGGCTCCTGCACTTCATGACGTTGTTGGAGTAATCGGATTCTGCAACCTCGAAGTTGGGGTTAATGACAACCTGGGGAGGAGCAAGGCAGAGGAAGCTGTTGGTCCCCCCTTGGCCATCTCCACCTCTGGCCTGGGGCTCTGTGAGACCAGCCCGGCTGCCAGAGCCGGTGACCTCAGGGAAAGGCAGGTGCTGGGATCCAAGAGGCCAGGGCGAGACTGCCCGGAGGGGTCTGTGGGTTCTGGCAGAGCTCTTGGGGGAGAGCTGAGCTCAGGGAGGCAGAGGGAGCATGGCCTGGAGGAGGGAGACCTGGCATCCCTCTGTCCTTCTCAGTGTTGAGTCACACAGACACCCCTCTGCCAAGGATAGGCCTTCAGAAAGGGGTCACCTCCTCCTGGAGCTCCGAGAGAGGCCCCAGAGCAAGACGCTGGAGAGGCGTAGCAGGGTGCAGGTGCCGAGATGGGTGGGGAGCAGGAGGATGGGACGAGTCCCAGCTGTGTGACTGCGGACACGTCCCTTCCTCTCTCTGGGTCTTGGCCGGCTCTGCAGATCAGTGGGCTGGGCTAGGCCATCAAGCCCCTGCCTGCTCTGCGGGTCCAGGGCCTGTGCCGGGGCTGCTGGTGGAGACTGGCCCCCTTCCCCTCCCCTCCCTCCGCGTCGCCCCAGGTCAGCGGACGTAGCCCAGAGAGCAGGAATAGGAAGGGCTGTCATTCCGAGAGGCGGTTGTGATGGGCCAGAAATGGGGAGATTTGGGGTGAGGAACTGAGGAGAAGAGAAAGGGGAGGGAGGTGGAGGGTAAAGGGACAAAAGCTGTGCCTGGCACAGTGGATGAAGGTGCACAGGACCTTGAGGGTCCTGCCACACTGAAGGGCTGCGACCCCAGCGGGCAGGCTGCTTGGTAAGGAACATCTCTAGGTTTGGGGCCCCGGAAGGGCCAGGACTTGACCCTTAGCAGGGCTGGGCCTACGCAAAGAGATGCAGTGGAAACCAAGGCCAGCACGGCACCCGCCCCGTGTGCTGGCAGTGGGGTGGCCTTTCTGGGGGGCTCCTCCTCGCCCGCTCCATCCTCCGGCCTGCACGGCAGGCACTGCGTCCAGCTGCTCCCCAGGCCAGGGCTTTCTGTGCCTAATGCTCCGTGCCGGTCCCAGGGGACATATTCGTTTTGATGAATCAGTATTACCATGTCCCTAACGAGTCCATTTGCTAAGTGCACAGTTTGGGGACCGACAACACTAAATACAGAGTTGATGTGACCTGGGTTTGCCTGGCTGTGAAATGAGCACAGTAGCGATGCCCCTTCCTTGGTGATGAAATGAGACAAGTGATTCGCCAGGTTTGGGCAACAAATAGCAGTTATTAAATAGATGGCATTTGTCAGAATACATGACGGTACACACTCGGCCGGCAGAGTGACAGCAAACCTCAAAGCCAAACCGACAGGCACCGCACTGGCTACGTGCACGTAGCCACGAATATTCATATTTTAAGTACACATCACTCTGCTCTTCGGCCGGGCCTCTCCACGCCTGCGGCTCTGGGCTCGTGGGCGGAAAGTGCTTGGCTGTCTGATTTGCAGCCTCTGGAACTGCCCTGGAAGCCTCTCAAAGCCCCTCTGTGGTCACCTCTCTGCAGGTGTTGTTCCTGCAGAGGGCCGTCTGTCGGCGGGGCTGCGGCCCGGCCCTGGGCTGGCTGAATGCCCCCTCGGGAATGCTTTCAAGGCAGAATGACACATTTCTGGTCATCCGCTTTGCCACCCCACAGGGCCGGCTGGAACGCGAGACGGGTGGAGTCGTGGAAGGGAATGAGAGGGTGGAACGGAGCTTCTGCAGGCGACGCGCGCCAGGAGGCGCCCCGTCTCCCCCCGCCAGTGAGGGGCCTGGTCAGAGCTTACGGCTCTTTGCAGGGAGGTGGGAGGCCAAGGCCCCCTGGTTCCTCCTCAGGGATGGCCTTCCACCTGGGCAGAGTCCCCACAAAACAGAGCCCTGGCTGGGCCGTCTCCAGTGTTTGACAATCTACCACTATAGATTCATTTCTTTGCATTGACAATGGCCCCCTCTGCAGATCTTCTTTTATGAGGCAGATGTTTCTGGGAGAGGGAGGTCACATGCACTTGAGAGACTGCTTTCCGCCTTGACGGCATGGGCAGAGGCAGGGCAAGCGCACGGCGACGGAGGCAGGGGTATCTCAGCAGGGGAGGGTTAGAGTCTGGGGGACAGATCCCGGCCTGGAGGCAAGTTTTGATCCGCAAGCACCAGGCATTGCCCACATCTGCTATGAATGTCTCAGGCATCTCTTGTTCCCCCAGGCCCTGCATGCGCCCTCTTTCCCAAGCCCACGGGCTTCGCATGCTTGGGTTACCCAAGGACTATGATGGCCTCTGGGTGTTGATCGCACCCTGCACTTCAGACAGCTTGGCCTCCATGCAGCCTCCCTTCCACCCCCGAGCAAGGCTGGAACCCTTCCTGCCCGGCTCACCTGGAACAGGTAATCTCCAGGGGGTACATCAGTAATGTCGATCCACTGGCAGTCGATGTCATGGCGGTACATGTCCCAGCAGCCCATGGTGATGCCCTGCTCGCCAAAGTTGGCACACTCGTAGCTCTTCTGGATGTCTGCAGGCAGGGAGGAGGGGGACCCGTCACCAGGCACACATGGCCCATGGCCGCATCTCTCTTCCTGTCCCCAATCCCCCACCATCTGGGCTCAGTGTCCCAGCCCCGCTCTGTGGGTTTCTGATCTGTTCTCATTTCAGTGGAACCTCCCACTCAATTCCCTCCCCACATCCCAGCCCTCCCTTCAGGCCGGGCTCAAGGCCCCCTCCTCCACGAAGCCCTCCCTGGCCACTCTGGTTCACTCTGGCCTTTCTGCGAAACCCTCAGCCTGGGGATGGACAGCACGTTCCTCGGGGAAATCTCTGGGGTTCACTGTTGAGCTTAATGTGGGGGTCGTCTTGTCTCTCCCACTGGAGTATCAGTGACAAGAGTGCAGGCGTACGTGTGGTTGCCTCTCTGACCCTTACGTGTTGTCTGCACGTGGCAGGCGCTCAAAACCTGTTTGCTGTAGAGTTCCCAGCATGCCGGTGGCAGACTGCTTCAGTGAATAACGAATTACACACTGTCTTTGAAGAGGCTGCCATGTCGGGGCGCTACTCAAGACAGCAGGTACAGTGGGAAGAACTGACCTGTCTCCCCATGAAGAGCCCTGAGGGTGGCAGGGGCACTAACGGGCAATGACAGTGCAGGTGTGGCGACCTAGGGGCAGGAGCAGAGTGCTGCCCCTGGCTGGGGGAGGCACGGGACCTCAGAGTGCGTCGTTTGAGCTTGGACTTGAAGGGTGAGAGCCTGGTGGGGTGGGGGCGCTTGGTGCTGGGACACATAGGAAGAAAGGTTTGTGGCAGCCAGAGTGGGAAGGGCACGTGCGTCAGGCCCGAGGGTCTGGACCTCGCCTGGGAGGCCCTGTGGACCTACCAGTGTCCGTTGGCACAGCTCTGCAGGGTCCAGGTGCCTTTGGAGCCAGGTCTTGCCCATACTCCTTAGCACCAAGCTGCAGCCAAAGGCCCAGGGTGGAGAAGGCAGCAGGGTTGAGGGTGACACAGAGTCCAGCGTCTGGCCTGGGCTCTAGCCAGGTGCTGTGGGGGTGGGAGCCTTCAAGTCCCCCAGAAACCCCACCTCCCCCCACACAAAGGTACCTCCTTCGCATTCTGTGTCCTCCAAGCAGAAGCTGGCCTTGTGGCCCTCTGCCACCTTGGTGCCATTGAGGTTCAGCAGGTCATAGTAGGTGAACACTTCCATGCTGTGGTAGTGCCTGCAAGCGCGAGAGAGGGCCGGGAGGTCAGTTTCTGGGGTAGCCGCTGCCTGCAAGCAGAGGCCCAGCTGGCAACCTGGCTCTGGGAATACCCCGCAGCACGGTCCACAGCGGGGCTGGGCCGGGCCAGGCGTGGGTGACAGGGGCACAGGAAGGAAGGCAGAAGAGCGAGCCAGGAATTGTGCTTTAGAGAGAGCCTCAGGCTCTGGAGTCGACAACCCACGGGCCTTGCCAAGCCTGGGTCCTCATGTCAGCTAAAGGGGGCCAGTGTGCGGCTGGCGTGCTTGGCACGGCCCAGCGTGTGCTGTGCTCTGTCACGTACGCTGTCGGTTTTAGCAAGCAGGGACCCTCCTGAGCGCTCAACTGGCTCTCACATCCCATTCCTGTTCAGTGTACTTTCTCTAGACTGAGAAAAAATCCCATTTTGATGTCTTTTGAAAACTTTTGAAAGTGGGAATACGGTAGGGAGGGAAAGAACGAAAGGCAGGGGTAGTGAGTCAGGGGAGAGGCGGCGAAGAACAGGCGCTAAGAAGTAGGGCGTGTGTCCCGTGTGGGACACGCTCGTGCCCAGTGACATGCGTGCTTCAGACCAGGAGGGGAGGCCTGCGGTTCTGCCTGGGGCCCTGGGGATGCGAGCTGCAGCAATCTGTGCTCCTTGCATGGAGCAAACCAAACGAGGAGGGGAAGGAAGACAGCTGTGGGGGCCCTGTGGGAAGGGAGCAGGGGAGAGCTTGGCCCCTGGGCCGACAGTTTACATGACGACTTCCTTCCCTCCACTGGGGAGGGATCGAGAACAGATGTGGCGTGTCAGAAAGTGATGCGCTTGGTTCAGAAGAAACGAGGGAAACATGGCTGCCGCGTGCTGCCCAGGCTGGAGCTGACGGAGGCCCTCGCTGCCCGGGCTGTCACCATCCTGATCCCAACACACAATGGTGCATTGTCGCAAGCATCTGCAACTACGCCATTCGCTTGTCTCTGCCATGACAGGGACATTTGGAAAATGGGGAAACTAAGGAACAAGGGGCCAAGGCACGGGGACCAGAGTCCCTCGTTTCATCTGTGCACGACCTGAGGGAAAATGACCTACTCTCAGGGCTGGTGCTGGGACTCAATGAGATAAATGTCGTAAAATACCCAGCACGAGGCCGGTAACAGGTGAGCGCTCAGCACCTGTCGGCTTCTCGGTTCCTCCTACTGTAGCCGCATCGCCATTACCCCCCATTACTCCCTGTCACTCCTGTCACTCCTGTCACTGCAGGCCAACGGGAGCTGGCCTCAGGTTCCCTCCGCCGCGTGGCGACAGAGGAGGGCAGAGGGGAATGAAAAGGGTGGGTTTTCTGAGAGGAAATGAGAGGCTCTTTTTCCCTTCCTCCTGCGTTTGCTTGTGCTAAAAATAATGTCCGGAGTTGCTAAGTCGGTCTTCCCTGGTCACTCACGCTGCCCCTCAAGGCGATGTTGAGCCAGGGGCCCGCGGAGAACATGCACAAGGACGCATTCTGTGGCGGCTGGAGCAATGACTTTGAAAGAGTCTATTTTGGCTTCCTGCAGGAGCAGGATGAGACATGAGGTCTGACTCACTGCCTAAAAAATGTCTGCGTCGCTCAGAGAGGGGCTTATGTGTCCATGTTTACCGGGCTGGAAAGACTGAAGAGAAGGAGTTTATGTTCCGTTGTCTAAACAGAATTTAGACGGAGTCCACAGACGGACTCTTGTAAGGCTGACCCCGCCGTCCCGCTCCGCGGCTTCCTGCAGACTTGATTTAAGAGGCTTCCCCAGCTGCAGATTTTCCCCTGCAGACACTCGGCAGGGAGCACTGGTTTCGCAGCCTCCCAGTGTGGGCTGCCTCTGTCTGGAGCATCTCTGCTTTACCTGTCGGTGTACATGGGCAACCCCCAGGGCCACGTCACCCTGCCAGCTGCTCAGAGGTAGAGCCTAGAACATTCCCCACCTCGCCACTACTCCCAGGAAACACAGAGCGGGACGTGGGGCAGGTGGAGGGCGAGGAAGGCTCTCTTCCTCTTTCCAGGCTGAGCTGTCAAGACCCTCGGATGTCTAGGAGGGGCCTGATCCCTGGGGTAGAGATAGGGAAACGCAGACATGGAAGGAAATAACAGAACTCTAAGAACAGGAACAGCCCGATGCTTGATGGAGGTCATTGCAATCTGGACAAAAGGAAGGACAGCCTTCCACGTCATACTCCAGAGCTCAGTGTTTTAAGACGTGGAACTAGTTGGGGTAGGAGGTGTTGGATGAATACATGGATGACAGGTAAATCTGGTTCAGAGAAAGACGGGAGGTTTGGCTACGTCCTTTGCTATTCTAGGTCATTGGTGGCCCCAGTAAAACTCTATCAGCACCTCGGTGCAGATGTTTGCGCTCTGTGTCTCTTCCCAGGCCAGCCACGTGCCCTCGGCACCTCCGGAATGGACAGTCCTGGTGGTTCCCTCCCACGGTTGGGGCAATGCTCCTGTCCTCATCTCACAGAACATGGACGTGTTTCCCAGTCCCAGGAGGTGCTGCTACGAAGGCAGGGGCCCTTCTGCTCGCCCCACCTTGCCATCCCCACGTGCCAGGTAGCCCCACAGGTGTGATGAGGGCCTGAGACTGGCTCCTAGAGGCCACATCACCTTTGAAGGTTTTGACCCTGTGTGGGGGCTGTTCCCCCTGTGGGGGAGGCAGGGCACAGTGAACAGAAGTGTCCCCTTTGCAGCAAAGCCATCCGTGACTCGGGGGGCTGGTGCCTGTGCTGGAGGAACATATGCTGAGCCAGCACGTCCTTCCCTCTTGTGCCTCCCAAACCATTGACTGGAACATCTGCAAGCAAAGACATAAAACAGACCACAGGAAAATGGGGGCAGTCTGAGTTCCCAGGGCTCCAGATCAGAAGAACATTTCCAGGATGTCACTATGGGACTATTCTTAGAGACCGATTCCTTGGAGAGTAAGTAAATGGCACAGAGACTGCCATGTAACCTCTGGGTGGGCCGCCATATGCAGGGCTGGGATGCAATTACCCTCCACTTATAGACCCACAGGCAGTGGCAGCCCCCGCTGCCCAGGCCTCCCACCCACATGCTCCCTGAAGGAGACCAGGCACCGAGACCATCATGACTTTAGCTCTCCCGTTTCACTTCCACCCTGAAGACTGATGTGCTTCCGTACAGAGACCAGAAATTCTTTGGCTAATTAAGGGCTTGTGAACATTCAGATGATCACGTTAAAAGAAAATCGACACCCCTAAATTCTATCATAGTCCTTTCCTTTGAAACGGGTTGAACAACTCTATCCCAAAACTGATTTGAATGTGACTAGGCCATCGGTTGTGACCCCTGCCCTCTGCATCGTCTTGGGCAAGAGACATAACTCCAAGCCTCTGTTTTCTTACTTATGAAAATGAGGATTCGGGGGGCCTGGCCCTTAAAAGGGGACCAGTACATGGTAGTCCTTCTCCCCCATCGGTGATCACCACAGTATAGAGCTGGGAGGCAGGCTCAGTCTCATGTAGACAAGGGCTTCCCCTTCTATGATGTGCGCACAGTCACCTGGGAGTCCCCGTTAAATGCAGATTCTGACACGTGGGTCTGCGATGGGCCCTGGGACTCAGCATTTCCCAGGCTCTCAGGTGGTGGCAGATACCGCTGGTCCGGGGACCTCCCCTTGAGAAGCAGGGCTCCAGTGCAAAGGCTTCGTTTTGCGGACAAGATGTCTAGGCGTTGAGAAGGGCAATGACAAGGCCAAAGTCTGGAGCCCTGAAGGGGCTTCCTGCTGTGTTGGGTGGCACAGGCCTCCCTCCCTCGTCAGTAGTGGGCTTGCTTCTGTTCCCTCCACCTGCCCGGCTCGGATCTGAGCAGGGAAATCCCTGGACAAGCAGGTTCTGGAGTAGATAAAGAGTCAACACGAAGAAAGAAAAAAAGAAAGAAAGCCAAGGCAGGAGGAAGAGCAAGTGGCTTTTGTGGGCTCCAGCTAGGGCTGGCTATAGGATTTCACCCTATTCTGTTCTCACCCAGGATTTATAGCACTGCAGACGAACAGAGCTGGAAGAGACATCCCAGGCGATATGGCCTGGCTGGCCCGACATCATGCAGCTGGTTGGAGGCTTGGCTGGGTTTAGAGACCAGGTCTCGTGACACCTGGGCCTAGAACTCTCGCCTCCACACCCACTGTCTTCCTAGAGATATTAAAAGTATCCACCGGTATGGGAAATACATTTCTAGAGCTCTTTCTGGAGCTCAGAGTCCCCTGCAGCGCACAGGCCTGCCGTGGGCACACGTGGAAACCACGGACTGACGGCCAAGGAAGGGGGCGTCCTGCAGATGTCAGCCGAGCAGCTTGGCAGGGAGGGAGGGAGAGCCCACCTGTGGCAGTCGTGCCAGATCCACGCGTGGCGGCCCTTCTTGGGCCGGAAGTCAGCCTGGCCGTTGTTGTGGATCTGGGAGGAGAAGCGCAGGAGCCGGCGGTAGCCCGTGGTGGGGTCGGTCTTGGCGGCCGAGGCCGAGAGGCAGTTCTCCTCCATGGCGCACTGGAGCATGAACATGGGCCGGTCCTCCAGGTAGGTGGTCTGCTGCACTATCTCAGCATTGAGGACCAGGTCAGGCGCGGCTGGGGAGGAGGACACGGTGGTCACCAAGACAAGAGACCCCTCCCCAAGGGTTCCACTCTGACTCCTGAGCTGGGACAAGCCCCTACCTCCACCTGCCTCCGCCTTCTGGAATGGGCACAAGGACTCCCCAAGGTTACCTGCCTTGTTTAAGAAGACCCCAAATTATTCCTGCCCTCTGCTAAGAGATCTCTTTGACATCCCTTTGGCTATCAGGGCACATGGGCAAGATGTTGACAAGTGTTGAATCTGGGTGACGGGCACATGAGGGTTCATTATATTATTCTCTCTACTTTCAAGTGGCTTTAAATTTTCCATAATAAAAAGCAAAAAACAATTAACGATGTGATTTTGTGCTACACACAGAGAGAGAAAATGCTGCTAATCACTTGGTCTGATTCTTCTGGGACTGATATATTTTCCAACATGTGTAATATAATGTGTAGATTTATAGTCTGCTAACTCTTCCCTTTAAAATATATCTTGACATATTTCCATGTTAATATATATCCATTGCAACATTCATTTCATGGCCACATAATATTTAATGCATAACCCTACCTATCCCATATTTTCAGATATATTGGTTATTTCAAATTTTTCACTTAAAAGCTGTGCTAAACATCCTGTAGTAAATCTGTGCATATAACTTTAATATATTTCTATAAGTGAACTCGCTGGGAGAAAGGGTCGCCTATTTTTGAGGCTGACGAGTATCGCCAAATTGCCTTCTTAACAGGCTCTTCCAGTTTCCACCCATATACACTGTTGTCCCCAGGTGCCTGTCTTCTCAAAAAAGCTTAATTTACTCAATTAGTGCACCGCACATTGCAGGTGTTAAAAGAATGACCGATGGCTACGATCTAGTTAACTAAACAATTGTATTAGCAAGCTTAGCTTCTTTGCAAAGGGATTCACTGTCAGTTTCCCCTTAAAAGTGAGCTTTTGGGGAGCATTTCTAAGTACACTTCAATTCAGAAAAATGTCACCCATGAGTTATTTACGAGAACCTGCTAACTTTTATTTTGACAAGTTGCTTGTAAATTTCTCTAGCAAGTGTAGTGTGTGAGCCTTGTGTCCCTCAAGTTCACCAGCACCTGGGGGGGCGGGGGTGTGTCCCCCTCCCCTCACTGTCCCCAGGCTAAGGCTGCAGGTCCTCAGTAAACAATGAACTCACTGGCGCCCTCTAGAGAGCAGACCCACCCGCAAGCATTGGGTGTGGAACTGAAGGGCAGTGAAAGGGGCAGGAAGATGGGATGGGGGCGGGTAGAGGATGAAAGGCAGAAACCAGGAGCCTCCGGTTTGCTGATGAGTGTTTCATCTTGGAGGGTATGCCGGGATGCAGCATTCCTCAGCCCTGAGTGTTCTGGGCACACTTATTTTTATAATGGGTGTTGTGTGAGTCTCTTATTAGTTGTTGGCACCCAATGGACAACCCCTCTGCACGGGCTGTGCTAGTCCTGAGGGAGGCTGGCCTCCTTCCAGTGCAGGGTGGCCTGAAAGGAGGCTGGACAACTCGAGGCCTGAGCCAGCCCCTTGGTTCTCAAGAGTGCGGTGGGAGTCTTGGGCGGGATCTGAGCAGCAGAGGAGGGAGTGGGAGGTGGCTTTGTCTCTGGGATGGGGAGGGGAACTCATCATGGAGGCCCGTGTCCCTGTGGGGACCCCAGCGAGTGGCCTTTGCAGTGATGCATTATGCAAGATGGTCATGGATGCAGGCAGTGACAGTGGGAGGGAAGGACAGGGAGGGAGTCAAGAAAGTCAGGAGGGACTGCACATGGGGCATGGTGGGAAGAGAGAGCTATCGAGGAGTGCAGATTTCAGGTGTGTGTAATTGGTTGGATGAGAAAAAGTAATTATAAAGGGTTGCCTGGAGAATTGCTTTATTTCCCTAAATACTATAATTTGCATTTAGCCAGACCAGCCGAGAGCTATGTTCCTGGTCCAAACGGTGGTTGCGCCCTCTGCAGATACGCTCTGAGTGATGCCTTCAGCCTCAGCTGAGGAACACTGTGAGCAGTAGCCCTATGAAACTCATTTTTGGGTCTCCTATTAAAGGCATTGTCACTCTCAGTTGTCATAGAGAGAAATTCCCTTCAATCTCAGTACGGTATCTAGAATTGTGGGCTTCTCTTAACTCATGGGTTTGTTTCCATCTCATAGGTACTGTAAATTATATTAATGACCAGTTTTCCCTCTTTCCTCTGGCTGCTAGGAAGCTCACTGTGAAATTAATGACCTCCTCATAGTAAGTGTATAGAACTCCATAGTACAGTCTTTTTTCTAATTACCCTCTCTCCTGGCTCCATTTTAAGCTGCTACCTTTTTGACAGCACCTATCTTTCTTTCATCTGTTTCTATTTTATATTATCTTGAATTTTATTTAGGTTTATTTATTATCTTAATTTACTTTTGAAGAAATGGGGATATTGTGAATATAAATAAATTGATAAAGAAAATGCCCCTGGCAGGGGTGTGGCTGCTCCTTTCTGCTTAGATGCCCTCCCTTGGGGGCTGGTGAGGGTGGTGGCCTCACCCTCTCTCCTCTCAGGCAGGAGGCCTGTGATGTCTGCCCAGAGAAGCTCACACTGGGGGCTGAGGGTCCTGTTTTCCAAGGATTAGGAGATGCCCATGAGTCTAGCAGGGGTTGGTGGGAGAATGGAACTGTGGAGCTGGGTTTACTCTGCTCCCTCATCCTCTGTGATTGTGTAAACTGACAGTGCCTTGTTTATTAAGCACGTGCATACATTCATTGTCACATCGGAGTTCCAATTTCTAGGAATGACAAAACGACTGCAGATCACAGCGGTTCACTAATTTTGCCAAGTTCAGATAATAAGGCAGGGTCTGGTCCCAAGTTCTCTGGCCAGTTCCCCACGTGGGTTTATAAGGCCAGGGTGGGGACAGTGAGGTTTGGGCTCAGGAGGACAAGCTGCCACAGGCTGGTCCCCTCTACCTAGCGTGCAAGGGAGCCTTCAGGAGCTGGGTCATTCTGAATCCTGGCTGGGGTTCCCCTTCCATATGCCTAATCTCTCTAGGACTCCTGGGGAGTCACCAGGCAGCTAAGTTACCTCCAAGGTCTGAAACCTGAAATGACCTATGGAGGAGGTGGAAGGAAGGAAGATGTTATTGTCCTCATTTAACCTGAACGAACAGGAGCCCCCAGTCAGTGATCTGCCCGAGGTCACTGAAATAGTCGGCAGTGGCCCTGCCCTACCAGACTCCCGAGTCCCTCCCTCCAGTGTTCCTCTCCCCTATGTCATGGGCAAGGATCTGCAGTTGGGGTACAACCCCCAGGAGCTCTCACTTTCTGAGCAGGCGACTCCTGCCCCGTACTGCACCCCGCCCTGGGGGCAGGTCACGTACTCCTCGTCATCGTGGTGGCAGTGAGCCAGGGAGAGCTCCGTTCCCGAGCACTTTACTCCACTCATGACCACTTTGTTGTCGAAGACATTTCCGTGCCAATACCAGGTCTCCTGGATGCATCAACAAAAGAAATGGCAAGTGCGTCACCTCGAATTTCACTTTCTCATATTCTACCGACGTGCAGCCTCACAACAACCCCGAGGTTTTACAATCTCATTTTTCACAGGGAGGCAGCAGAGGCACAGAGAGCCACTTACCCAAGCCATGCAATTAGTTGGTGGCAGAGCGAGTGAGGATCCAGGTCTCCTGATCCTAGCACTTGGGTTCTGTCACTCTCCCCCTTGGGAGAGTAGAGCTAAGGTTGCAGTAAAACATCTGTGCAATGATGCATGTCAGGAATGGCAGGTGCCTGCAATTCCTGGTACCCACTCCCTCCTCCAGAGCCAGGGCAGACATTGCTAATCAATCACAGCACTCTCTCCTCTAAGCCTGAATGTGATCTCAGAAGACAAGACCAATTGATGGGAATCGGCAAATGTCAATAATTAGTTAGATATGTCATAAAGACTAACTCTTGGATTTAGAATTTTCCCTGGTTTAAAACGCAATTAATAGAGTAGTTCTGCAAAGAGGCTGGGGAGACCCCAGGTTTATGATGCTGAGATTTACTGGGCCCCATTGCTCTCTGGGGTTTTAAAGTATGGTTAGGATATACTCCCACATTTCAGACAAGTTCCCAGTAGAGAAAAATGAGGAACCGAAGGGGACAGTCAGGCACAGAGCTGGGATGGGAACACAGAGGCCTGTGTTCCTGAGGTCTCTTGGGCTTGCAGTCTAAAGCAGGGTTAGGGTTTAGGGCAGTCTTCCCCGAATCCTCAGAGAGAGAGACGACCAAGACAGGAAGTGCCTTGGAAGTATTGCATCCGAACCCTCCTGTGACGGCTAATTTTATATGTTAACCTGAATAAGCCACAGTACCCAGATGTTTGGTTAAATACTATTCTAGATGTTTCTGTGAAATAATTTTAGATGAGATTAACATTTAAATCAGTAGACTTTGAGTAAAGCAGATTACCCTCTATAATGTGGGTGGGCCTCATCCCATCAGCCGAAGGTCTTAAGAGGTCAAAAGGCTGAGGTCCCCAAAGAAGAGGAAATTCTGACTGCAGACCGCCTCAGACGCCAGTTACACACTAGCGCTTCCCTGGGTCTCTGCCTGCTGGTCTACGCTACAGATTTCAGACTTGCCGGACTCCATAATCATGTGAACCAATTCCTTAAAATAAGCTTCCCTCTCTCTACCCACAAACACACACACACACACACACACAGACACACACACAGACACGCTCATACATTCTATTGGTTCTGTTTCTCCAGAGAACCTGACCAATAACCCCCTCATTCTCCAGATGAGAAAACTGGGGCCTTGACAAGAGATGGGGGCTGGAATCGGTGGCAGATTTGGGACTGAGGTCAGGCCCGGGCCTGTCTCACGATCCCAGCTGAGGCCTACGTGTCTTAGGAATGAGCTGACGGGAAACAAAAGTAGCTGGACAGCGGCTCTGTTGAAACGTGGCTGTTTTTCCATCCTCCCTGGAGAACTGCCAGTTTCCGTGCCCTGGCTGGTCGGAAATATTAGCAGCAGAAACACGGCATTGCCCCGGGAAGTCGAGCCCCGAGAGGGCGTGGGCAGCTGTATCAGAGAACTGTCCCCTCTGGGTGCTGGGATGAGGAGCCACAGGGCAGGGACCGGGGCAGCTGCTCAGGACTCAGCACATCCTGTCAGAGCCACCTGGGCCCCGGCCAGCCTGTGGGGGACAGGCTCAGCCAGGACGCCGACGTCCTCCTCTTCCCTCCCTAAGAAACCCCTTTCTTAGGCCTCAAGAAGGGCCACTTGGGAAGGAGAGCTGGAGTCACAGTTAACATAACAGGATGAGGATCTCAAAGCATTTTCCTGTTGTGTAAACTGCTTAATGAAAATGTTTAGAGCCAGGCTACTGAGGACTTGGGATTAGTCATTCCATGCCACAGGGAGGACACTGAGGCATGAAAGGGTGGCCGCTTTGCCACAGACCATTCGTATCACTGGGAGAATGTGGGAGGCTTGGACACCAGCTGGGAAATGTTGTGTTTTTTTTTTTTTTTGAGACAGAGTCTCACTGTGTTGCCTGGGCTAGAGTGCCGTGGTGTCCTAGCTCACAGCAACCTCAAACTCCTGGGCTCAAGCAATCCTACTGCCTCAGCCTCCCGAGTAGCTGAGACTACAGGCATGCGCCACCATGCCTGGCTAATTTTTTCTATATATTTTAGCTGTCCAATTAATTTCTTTCTATTTTTGGTAGAGAAGTGGTCTCACTGTTGCTCAGGCTGGTCTCGAACTCCTGAGCTCAAACAATCCGCCCACCTCGGCCTCCCAGAGTGCTAGGATTACAGACGTGAGCCACCGCGCCCGGCCCTAAGCTGGGAAATGTTTTGGCCAGAGAGGGCCTCCAAGGGAGCAAGCGAGGGGAATTGGGGGGTTGGGCCCTGGGCTGAGGGAGGTCACCACTGCCCTGAGGGACTGAGTTGCTTCCTTCTGCAAAAGGCACATCAGGACCCTCCCCAGGACCAGCCGTCAGCCCAGGGTGAACCCCAGCGTGCAGAGCAAGAGCCCCCACAGAAACACAGTCCAGCCCCTCGTTCTGCAGCCGGGAGACAGGGGCTAGAGGCGGAGGGTGACCTGCCCCAGGACTCAGAGCTGTAAGGGGCAGGGCACAGTTTCCTGCCTCCGGGGTGCAGGGCCCTTTGCCCCGTCCCTCCCGCGTGGCTGGCGAAGGTTCGAGGCAGAGGGTGCGGACTGCAGGTGGGCACGTCAGACTGCACGGAGGGCAGGTGTGGGTCTGCGGCCAGGGCTTCTCACCTGGAAGGCGTTGCTGGCGAATCCCAGGCCGAGCTGCCGGCACACCACCATGGCCTCCACGGTGCCCCAGTTCTCGCCACACACTGTCCCCCAGATGAGGGACCCGTTCCTCTCCACCAGCACCTCCACCCGGCCCTCGTAGGGATTGCGGCCTCCACTCAGGCGCACCTGTGGAGAGGAAGGCATGGTCACTAGGGGGACAGAGGGGAGCTTCCCCACCATAGTAGCGTTGGCCCCAATTTCCCCAACCCCGAAGCCAGGCGGTCCTGCCCAGGACACGCTCAGACTCAGCCGCGTCCCCAAGAGCCCCCTGTGTGGTGGCGGTGGGGCCAGCTTAGTCTTCCATCCCAGGCTTTCTGGGGCCCTAGAGGCCTCAGCAGCTGGGGATCCCACTGACCCCCACGGAGCACCATGGCAGGCACTGACACTGCTCCCAGAAGCCTATTATCGGGGCTGCTCTTCCAACCAGGCACCTGGAAGGATGTGCCCAAGGGGCCTTGAAGTGTCACAATTCTCTGAGACCCTCCCCAGGCCCTTTCTCCTTGCCAGAGTGCCTGCCTGGCTGGGTCCAGCTCCTGCTCTCAGCTTGTCCTGTGGATCCCCGTTGAGACCCTCCCAGCTGCCTGTTTGACAACTCCACTTGCATCTCGGAGGAGATCCCAAATCTGAACTTGTCATCTTCTCCCTCTCCCCATAAATGACTGGGCATGGCCATGTTTGTTCCAATAAAACTTTATTTTAAAAACAAGCCTAGGGGATAGGTTTGGCCTGCAGGCGTAGCTTGCTGGGATCCTGAGTCTATCCTGTTATTCAAGCCAAAAATGGAGGAACGACCCTTGACTCCGTGTCCTCTTCCCTCCAGTCCTCCCCACGCTCCCTCGCCTCTTGCCTGGGCCTCTTGCCGTCACAGATCCAGTCTCCACTCAGAGGCTAGAGTCATGCTGTAGAGACACCTGCTCACGCCATCCTCCCGCTTGCTTTCACTTTCCGTGGCTGCCTTTCTCGGCTGCGTCACACGGTGAGCGACACATTTCACGTTGGAGCCCACTGCACACACGTGCCCTTCTGGCTGGCTGCTCCCTGTTCCTCTTCCAGACTCCACGCCAGTGCGACCTCCCTCCGACTGGGGTCAGCGCCCAGCTATGCACCCTGGGACTCCCTACACATCTCCTTCCCAGCATGCACGGCAGTTCTAATTAAGCTTATCTGCAAGTAGTTTAACATCGGTCCCCAGTGGCGACACCTGGGGCAGACGGCTCCCTTCCCGCCCCTTACATCTGCCACTGCCTCACAAAAACCGACTTCACTTTGTCACCCCAGGTCCATGTAAGACGAGGTGGAGGAGCCTGGAGGACCCCCATTCTCGTGGTGGCTAAGTCTGTGTGATGGCTCCTGTCTCTAGGGCTCTCTCCCCTTGTCTGCTGCCACCTGCGTGGCCCTCCCCTGAGTTGGCTGGCCTTGGAGCAGTGTCCTTGTCCGGGGTCCTGAAGCCAAGGAAAGTCCCAGGTGCTCCGGCTGCATGCAGAACATGGCTGGCTGCCACACTGACTCTGGGGCCAGGAAAACGTGGTCACCAAGGGCACCAGGGACACTTCCCAAGGCTCCAAGATGTTGCCATTGTTCACCAAGTTTGACCAGGCCCGGAGAGGCCTGTGTGACAGGGAGCAGGCTTCAGTTGCTCTAGAAGGAATCTGGGCACTTCATGCATGGCGGGGTGGGGGCAAGGGGGGTTTCTCATTTTCCAGAGAAGACCGGAGTGCACAGAGTGGCTGGCCGTGAGGTTCAAACCTGGCACAAGACACATCTCACCGTTCCCAGGGGCCCAACCAGGGCACTGGCGTCCTGGAAGTCACCCAGCTTGCTGACAAAGGTGGTCTGACCTCGCCAGCGACAATGGAATCCCGAGAGGCCTGGGGTCAGCCGGGAGCCTCTGGCCTCGCCCCTCCACCCCGCCACCCAATGAGGGTGCCCAGGAAGGTCAATCCTTAAAGTCTCTTAAAATAGCCTGGCGTTTCCCTTTTCCTGTTCCTTTGGTCTTCGGTGGCGGCAGTGTGGGGTTTTAAAGACGGGAGGGAAGTATGCAGGCAGCTCAGTTTTTCTGAGCAGGATCAGACAAACAGACAAAACAGCACCTCCAGCCAGGGGAGGGCGGCAAGGCTGCGGGTGTTTTGATAATGTGGTGGCTGGCTGCCCACACCTATTTTTGGCGGGGGTGGGGCAGAGGGGAGGTAACAAGACCCAGATGTTGGCAAGGAAGGGGGCAGGGGCCTTTCCGACTCACATTCCACATACGGGCTCAGGCCTGCTGCTGCCAGGCCGAGGTTCAGAGGTGAACTGGAGGCCATCGAGGGTGCGGCCCTGTACGGATTAGTTCACCGCAAACCCACCTGCCACTCCCAGGCCTCCCACCTCGGCACCACTCCCGGAGAGGAAGGAAATGAGGCTAGGCCGCTGCTGGGAGGGCAAGACCACTGGGTTCCAAGTCTGCTGCCTTTACGGGCCACTCCGGAGGAAAGCCCAGCTCCTAATGACCAGGGCAGGGGGGACCCTCACCTATTTCAGCGGAGACTGAAGACTCCTTCAGGGGATTAATTAGGTAATCAACCAGTGTGTGAGTGTCATAGACTGAACTGTGTCCCCCTCCCCGATTCGTAAGTTGAAGCCCTAACCCCAATGTCACTATATTTGGAGCTAAGGCCTTCAAAGAGGTGATCCAGGTCAGACGAGACCAGATGGGCGAGGCGCTAATCTAATCTGATCTTGGTGTCCTCTAAATAGAGGAAGACCCAGGGACGCGCGTGCACAGAGGAGAGACCGTGTGAGGACACAGTGGAAAGGCGGTGGCTGCCACAAGCCTGGGAGAGACCCCTCGGGAGAAACCAGCCCTGCCGACACCTTCATCTTGGACTTCCAGCCTCCAGAACTGTGAGGAAACAAACGCCTGCTGCATAAGCTGCCCAGGCTGTGGTATGTAGTTAAGGCACCCAGTCTTGGTGCTGCCCAGTGCTGCTGCCGACACCCTCTGCAGCCCCATGCACCACGCAGAAGCCGCCCGCCACCGTGGCAGGACAACTGGTGCAGCCCCACAGGAGTGTCTTTCCCGGGTCACTCTCCCCATTTCCTTCCCGGGTAATAGAATCCACAAATCCAGGTGTAAAACTCTCCCATCCTATGCTTGAGCGCATGGGACACCTCCTGGAGCCTGGGGCCCCGGGGAAGGGAGAAGGTGGTTCGTGTTGGGAGGGTGGCACTTCTGCGGCATGACCAGGTACCTGGCCTGGTTCAGCTCTACCGACCATAAAACAGTTCTGGGAAATGTCACTTTCTTTGGCCGAGGTATTTCATTCGGTTCAACTTCGAAGTGAAGAGTCCCCAGCATAGCGGGGCTCATGGCCTCACCTGTTCACCCGCCTGCAAATGCACGGCTTAGCCGAGCGCGGCTGGGGACGAATCGCACGAGACAAACTGTGGCCGACTGGTTCTGTGGTGCCTTTGGCTTGCTGGTGCCATGGTCAAGGACTGCTGTCAGAGCAGGGGCCCAGCTGAGGGACCATCCTGAACCTGGATGTGTCCTCATTTGTTCATTTTAAAAAGAAGCGTGCACCGTGCCAGCCCTGTGCCGGATGTCACACAGATTTGACCAAATTCATGGCACAGGGAAAGAGCATTCAGTAGGAGCATTAAGCATCTGTTGGGCCTGTGTGTGGGACTGCACAGATCTCATGCACGGCAAGAAGACTTCATCTTGTTGGCTACCCCTGTGGGCAAGGTCACCCCAGCCAGGACACACAGTGTGGGTTTTTGGAGGCCCTGTCTCAGGAAGGGAGGGGTGTGTCTCTGGTCTTAATGCTGCTAAGATTTCCTTCTCCTTCCCTCTGGTTACCGAACACTCCTGTATTGTGCTTACATCTGCGTTCCGCTGGGAAAGGGTCCGCACACCCCCAACCCGGTTCCCTCATGTCACAGGAGCTATGGACTTAGCATCCCCTGCAGAAATGACCGCGTTGCTGTCACACCGTATGTATGTCCAGTTCCAGAGCAGGGCATAGCACACAGCGGGTGCTCAACATCTGCCACTGAGGAGGGTGGCGCTTACATGCATGTGTCCTCACTGGGCACATTTGCAAATGCTATCCTCGGTGACAGCGTCATCAGCAGTGACAGCATCAGCACCTGCACACTTTCTGAGTCCATCTCAGACCACCCCAATATCCCCTCTAGACTCCTTCGGAGTGAGGCCGGCTGGCCCACACTTCCTGGGCCCTCGCGTCAGTCCCCTCCAGGCGTCCGGACTCACCTTTTTCTGAAAGCCCATGGCAGGGATGTTACATCTCACGCCAGCGTCTTCCTCGTGGTTGCAGCCCTGAGACTCAGCGTTGAATTTGCAGTCTATGAGGGACTTCTCGTTGCCTGTGCACTCGATCTCGTTCAGGTGGATGGGGCCCATCCCTGGGGAGGGAACACAGACACGTGCTATGAAAGCTTCTGAAGGTTTTCTCGAATTGGAAAGAAAGTCCCAGACAATAAGAACATGCCTCTCCCAACTGCCTCTCGTAATCAGCTCAGCGACCCAGGCCTCTTCCCCCTGAGAGCACACTGCTAATTGTCTTGGGATTCATTTCTCCCATAAGAGCGTAAGTGTGTTACTAACTTGCTGTGTGACCTTGGCCAGATCACTCAGCCTCTCTGAATACTGGTTTTCTCACGTAAATAAAGCAGTTGGACTAGAAGATGTCTCAGTTTCCTTCCCCACTTTAATGTTCTGTGCCTTTATGGATCTGAAAGGGGAGACTGTTGCGGTATCAGGGTCCTTGCAGGAAACAGCTGGGATATACAAATTAGACGGTCTGAGTTAGAAAAAGGGGTTTATAAAGTAAAGGTAAGGATAGAATGTAGGGAAATCACAAAGGATAGTCTAGTACCCAGGGGCTGTTAACACTGGGGCACAGATCCCACCCCTGCAGAGTGAGGAGAAGCAGCTAGAACTGACCCACCAGGACAGGCAAAGAGCTGTCACCCCCTGGTGGGGAACACAGCACCCATGGGGACCTCACAGGGCAAATAAACACCCTGGCCCCTCTCCTCTGTCCACCTCCCGTTCCTGCTCTGGACGCTGTGGGCCCGACAGAAGGATGACATCCAGCAAATGACAAGCAGACGGTGACAATGCCGGGAGGCTTCTCTTACAGGCACTGAGATGGCAAGAGTGAGCCTCCTGCTGCGGGGAGAGAGTAATCCCACGCGGGCCCACTGTCGTTCACTGCAGCTCACAAAGCTAACTCGGCTCCCTACAGTCCGTCAGGACGCGGGAGGGTCCAGTCCTGCCCGGGTGCTCTGGGGTGTGTCCACTGCCACCTTCTGGGCCCCTGCTTGGCTGTTGATGGCCCTGCTCTCCTGGTCCTCCCCGTCCTCCTCCTGCTGGGTCCTGACCCTCCACACCCCAGCACGTTCCAAAACCTCACACCTTTACCATGTCCCACCCTTGACCACCCCCCTTTCCCTTTCAGGGTGAACTTGTTGGAAGAAGCACCCATTTTTGTTCTCGCTCCTTCCAGGGCCAGCAGTGGGATCTCCCCGCTCTGTTCTCCACCAGCCCACCCTGTCTGGGGAAAGGGCACCTCTGACCACCCCCACCCCGCCCCAGTTGTTCTTACCAAAACCCAGAGTTCATCCCTGGGACCACTTCCTTCCCCTGACAACCAGCCCATCCCCACATTCTGCTCACCCCTTCAAATCTGGGTGCTTTCCCCCCATTTCTGCCTCCACAACACTACCCTATCAGCCCTTGTGTGCATGCCAATCTATTCACCCCACAACGGCCCAGGAGATCTTTGTGCTTGTTGAATCACGTCAATGCCCATCTGAAAACCCTCCTGTGGTTTCTCACTGCACGCCGGGAAAAGTGCACGGGATCCACTGTTGCCAGATGGCCCCAGGACCCTGCCCGCTCCTCCCATCTCAGCCACACAGGGCTCCTTTGGCTCCTCCATTGAGCCACGCCGCCCCCTCCTCTTGGACCCTCTCCCTCCCTGCTCCCTGTGCACCCTGCAGGGACCCCTCCCCAGTCTAAGTTGGGTTCCCTATTTGTGGAATGTCTGTCTCCCCCACTAGGCTGGAGGACCCACGAGGGCAGGGAGCCTGTCTGCATGTGGCAGACAGGAAATGCCCACGTGGGGCCTACATGGATGCTTTCGACTTCCCTGAGCGCCTGTTGCGTGTCATCCTCCGTGCTAGGTGCCAGGGACCCAAGACGGCCAAGGCAGGCCCTGCCCTGAGAGCTCCCAGGCCCTGGGGAGGCAGAACTTACACAAGACTTGTCAGCAATAAAGGTGACGGTCACAGCAGGTGCTTTGGAGCCCAGAGGAGGGGCCCTCAGCCCTGTTGGGGGGCTCTGGAGATAGCCAATATGTTGGCTTACTAAGGTCCAAAAATTAACTACTAGATCAACCCAACCCATATGAGTAGGTTAAGAGCCAAGTTTCTGTTTCCTTGGAAATTCATAAATGATGAAGCTTCCAATTCCTTGGAATTTTATAAAATGGATAAAAACACATCAGTGACGATGGCTGGAAGTAACCAAGGACTAAGAGTGGAAAGGCTGTGACAAAGTCCAGATCCTAAACAGGGCCCTGGGAGTCAGCCAGTGCCACTGCTCTTGGGTCACAGAACCAGGCAGCATCCTGGGACCCAGTCAGATCAGGGGCTTGTCTGGTGACTGTGAGGATGATGATGGTAAGTGACTCTCATTTAATTGAGCACTTACTATGTGCTGGATTCTGTCCTAAGCACTTGCTTATAGTAACTCATTTAATCATCACAGCAAACCCCCAAAAACGAGGGACCAAAGATTAAGCAAACGGCCCAGTGGGGGAGCCAGGATTCAACCCAGGCAGTCTGACCCGCACATGACTTTGCTAAGTTTCTGAGGCTCATTCAGGAAAGAAAACTATATGTTGGAAAAGAAAGTTTTGTCTGGGAAAGAGCTGGGCTGACCTGGTCCAAACGCCCGTGCTCTCCCTCCTCTGGGGAAGCTCTTCCTGTCTCCTGCCTCCTGTCTAAGAAGCTTGGCTTCAAGGAAAACCTCAAATCCGTCCTCGGAGGTGCAGTCTGAATGACCTCACCCTTGTCCAAACCTCCGCGGCATTTACTTTTCACACCTCTCGCTCAGCGGGCACCGAGCCGGGCAGTCAGCCTGAGATTGGAGTCTGTCTCAGGACTGAAGACTGCGGGGTGATGCAGCCTTGGGAAGTGACGACAGCTTTCTGAAATCCACTTTCCTCATCCAGAGGGAAGCTGTAATGTCTGTTTTGCAGGGTCAGGATTGTGAGGAATGAGACTGAGCATGCCAGGTGACCACGGACCCAGTAGGTGGTGGTATTTTTACCAGTATTATTTCCTATCCCTCGTCGCCTATGTGTTCGCAGACGTTACCCCCGATCCAGGGTACTGCTTGTTTCTCCCACTCAAAGGGAGCCTCTGCTGCGCAGAAACCAGAGCCATCCACGCTTGCGAAATCGATGAATTCTTCCATTCTCGGATCCAGCCCAAAAGCACTCAATCAGCGTTTGTGGATTGTGAGATCACAGTGCAGGACTGGACAGGACAGGACAGGCTAACCCAAGCTCCTAACGTGCTCTAGATCCACATCACAATCAGTCAGTCTCCTTGCGGCCCAATTTCTATATAAACTTGCGTGGCCCTCTCAGCTACCCGGGCATGAGGCCCTGGGGGGTTCCCCTGAGTCAGGCGCTCCCATGGCACATCAGCGCAGGGCACAGAGAGGGGAGACCCAGTGTGTCTCACCTCTCCCCTGCCCCACCCAGTTGCGGGGTCCGTTGGGCAGGGTGAGGGGGCACTGAAGGACACTGGACCAGATGTCCACCTGCAGCCTGCCCATGGTGGCCGTGGGCTCCCAGTTCCTTCTGCTGACTGGGTTTCACATTTTGGATCCTTGACCCCCAGCTTTTACCTGCTCCTGGGTTCTGGACTGCCTCCCGAATCCCTCTTCGTCACGGTGCCATCCCCACCTCCACCTCGGCTCTGCTCCCCTACGCACAAACCCTGGCCCGGGTGACACGGGGCGTGGAGCAGAACCAGGGTGCTGTGGAAGAGCCACGCGTAACCTTGCGGAGCAGCGTTATGGCCTCTGTGCATCCAGGCCAAGGAGTGGGCTGAACGGTCACCTAAGCTGGTCGCCATCAGATTTTTGAAAGCGCAAGAGAACAGAATAGCACACATCACGGGCTTGGTGTGTCATAAAGGTAATACTTGCTTCACGGAATTTGTGCTTCAGTTTTACGTGCGTGGCATAACCTTGCACGCGTATTTCTGATGGCAGATCTCGTGCAAAAGGGTTTTAAAGGAGCTGCTCTGTCCAATACAGTAGCCACTGGCCACATGTGTCTAGCCAGCCTCGAAATGCAGCAGTCCAAACTGAGATGTCTGCAAGTGTAAAATACACGCTGGATTTCAAAGATTGAGCACACAAAAAAACAAACATTCCCATTAATAGCATTTGCATTGATTACATGTTGAAATCATAATATTTTGGATATACTGGGAAAATGTATTATTAAAATTAATTTCACCTGTTTCTTTTTTTTTAATGTGGCTACTAGAAAATGCAAAATGACACATGTGGCTCATGCAGTCTTTCTATTGGACAGCGCTGGTCTAGCACTGGAACTTCTTCACCAAGTGCTCATTCAGCTGACCCTACTTGTTCAACTGGGATGCATTTATTCGTTCATTCATTTCTTCCTTCTTTACAATATAAACGTCTCTGGAGCACCACATGCTGGGCACAGACTCGGCACTGAGGACACAGAGATAAAAGGCACAGGCCCTCTGCTCACGTGGCTTTCAGTCTTTGGGGCAAGTGATGTGTCAACAGGCAGCTGAGTCCTGGTGAGGCTGCAGCCAGACAGAGCCTCAGGCACCGTTAATCCAGCCACCTCGTTTTACAGTGAAGAACTGAGGCCCAGAAGGTTGCTCAAGGTCGCCAAGCAAATAGGTGGCCCCGTCAGGCCAAGGACTCAGATTGCTCGACGCCCAGCCCTTGCCCTTTCCCTCTCCCTGGCTGTGAGTGTGGTCACTTGGTCCATCAGCAGGAGCCAGGACGGAGGGCCCGAGCCTGTCTGCTCTGTGACCTGACAGTGAATGTGGTACTTTTCCCTTCCTGCCCACTGGAGTTGGTCCTGCCCAGTATGGCAGAAGGTGATAAATCATCCTTGGTTCTTTCAAGGACAGCATCAAAAACGCCAAATGCCTCCTTCTCCCAGAGTTCTGCGGGCCCTTGGAAACCTTTGGCTGCTCTGGGCAGTGAAATAATTAGGTCACACAGCACACACCCATGATAAATGGAATGTCTATGTCATCCAGGGCTTGTTTATCCCTCAGAGTGAGTGGTCTTTGTCCTGCAGGCCTTGAGAGAACACACCCACACGTCGGTTGATCAGTAAAATGGATTTGGGGACCCTGAGGAGCTTGGTGACCAGGAGAGGAAGACTGTCGTGTAGCACAATGGAAGCTGCCAGGTGGCACCATGCGACACTAATGTCCACCCCCGACCCCCACACTTCAGTGCACACCCAGGAAGCTTGCGCAGATTAGAGAACGGAGGTAGAGAGGCATTCTGGTGTCAATAGGACTGGGCCAAGGTGGGTTCAAGGAAGAAGCCCAAATCTAAGAGTTAGAAGACAGGTTTTAGTCTTACACTGCCACCGACTATTGAGGTGACCTCAGACTTGTTTTCGTGAGCCTCAAATTCTTCATCTGTTGGACTAAGGACCTGAGGTCTTCCCTGGCAGTGCCATCTAGGATTCCAGGACTCTCTCTCCAGGTCACTGGAAAGCTGCCCTCCTTCCAACCTCGGGAGCCATTTAAGAGCTGCCCTGATGCGGGCCGGGGCATGGGCGTGCAACGGAAAGAGCCAACCAATGGCACTAGACAGATGAGCTCCACTCGTAGATGCATGAGAGCTCCATGCTGTTCAGTTGAGCTGCGGGTTAAGTTCAACACAGGATCCTGGAGTCTCGCGCAAGGAAACCACTGCATGGGGTATCAGGCCCTGGGTGATTGAGGACTATTATTTCCTCCAGGCTGTGACTGGTGACCTCACCACACTCCTTTCTGTGGGGTGATGGCCCCATGTCTGACAGTGTGGAAACCTCCCCTCCCCCCAGTATAGCACACCCACCCTTGTCCGCGGCCCATTCTCCTCCCTGCCCCCCTCCCAGCCACAGCGGCCCACGCTCCCCATGTCTGCAGTGGCCTCCCTGTTGGTCTGTGCTGAAAAGATTCCAGGAAATGACTTAGCTTCCCTTGCCCAAACCACAGTTCTCAAGGGGAGGGCTGGGCTCTCACTGCGTTGCAGAGTCTGTTTGGGGCAGACTCCTCCTCCTGCAGGGCTTGCAAGCGGGAGCGGTCTTCATGGGGCTTATTGGGGAAGGGAAGCGATCTGTTCTGTGTCTCATGGTTACAGCTCTGCTTTCGACAAAGTGACCCACTTGAAAGCCCCCTGTGCTTCTGTTCTTTGTGCACATGAGAGATTTGTTCAGGACACTTAATGAAAACCAGGACCTTCTCAATTAGTGTCTGATGACATCCTGTTCCCTCTCTCTGCTGTCAGGGAGAGGGTGTTTGTGGGGTTGCACCAGGATGGAAAAGTAAGATGGTATTTGGTTCTGTGTCCAGGGTGGTTCAGCCTCATGAACGCTGAGATCCTCTCCTGGAGAGAGGGCCCGAGACTCCTGGCTTTCCCTGGGGCAGCAGATGGCATGGGGTTAGGAGCCATGACACCTACGTTGGAGTATTCATTGGCTGCTACTATGTCGTCCCCCCTTGGCCATTTTCTCCCTTCCCCGGGCCTCAGCTTCCAAATCCATAAAATGAGGATTCAATGTTCTCTAAAGCCCCTTCTAGCTCTGACTGTCTGGCAAGAGGCCTGGGATTCCCGCCCAGGCAGCAGCTGCTGAAGGGAGGAGGGACAGCAGAAAGAGCCCTGGGTGTTCACAGCTGCCCGCCAGGGCTGGCTCGCGGTATCGAGCTCCCTGGGAAGAGAAGCCCCCAACAGCCTCCTTGTTCCTTACCTTGCCCCAGCCGGGAGCCAGTGATCGCCTCTTTGGCACTCCCAAAGCCCAGCTCTCTGCAGACCACACTGGCTGTCACCAGGTCCCACTTGTCGTCGCAGACGGTTCCCCATTCTCCATTCTTCAGCACCTCCACGCGGCCCTCCCCGATGCTGGCGCCACCTCGCAATCGCACCAGGGGTTGCTGAAGAGACACACGGTCCTGCTGAGTGCAGAAGCTGATGCACATTCAGCTGGCATTGTCACTGTGCCCCCGTCCCCTCTCCACTGCCCCACCCCAGGCCAGGCACTCGGTCTGGGAGCTGAGCTGTGCTTGACTGGCACACGTTTGTGGGGTTGAGGAGCGGGGGGCTCTACGGAGTCAGCTCTGGTGCAAGCTCCCTTTGCAGCCCCCACATAGAGATTTTGTCCTGGACCGCTGGGGAGCCCATCAGGACCCTCATCACTCATCACCCCAACCCACGCTTGGCTCAAGGATCCTACCACAGCACTTCCCTCCACCCCTCACTCCAGAGCTTCCAGCCTTAGAGCTGCAGAAGGAAGCTCCTTCCCCACAAAGCCTACAGATTTCAAATGGCTCATAACTCCCTGTGTATGCGGAGTGCTGCAGTCTAGTGCTGCAGGGAGACCCCACAGCACTAAGCAGACCACACTGCGGTGGTTCTGCAGGGCACAGCAAAGAGAGGAGGGGGGAGCAGACAGGAGAACGGGAGGCCCTGGAGCTGAAGAGCCAGCCCTAACGTGGCCGTGACTCAGAGGACAGATGCTGTAGGGAGGGGAGCCTCACTCTGGTCTGTCCCAGAGCTAGGTGCACACCCAGCCACCCCCGGATTCTACTCCAAGTCCAAATGGGCTGACTCTTCAGAAGATGCAGCCCCACCAGATGCACAGAGAGGGTGGAGGATTACAGCTTCGATACCCCTGTGCCCACGCACAGCCTGGAAGCCTTAATCTCCTTATGGGCTGTACTGAGTTCCACAGCAGTAAGACCCCAGTGGACCATGTCTTGCAAGATGGGCGCTGGATTACTTGACTCCATCTGTCCACATTCCCAGGTTTGCATCAGTTTCTGTGCATGTCTGCATGCATGTGTGTACATGTGTGTGCAGGCCACATGCATGCATGTGTGCATGTGTGTGCATGTGTGTGTGTGTGTTGGTGGAGGCCCAGAAGCTTGCGAGGCTGAGTTGGTGCCGACCCTCATTCAACTCCACACCGAGGGAGTGAGGGCGACTGTGCAGCTGTTCTACGTGTGTTGATCGGAACAGAGTCACTGCCTACCCTGGCCCTGCTGCCCTTAGCCTATGGCTCCCTTCACCCCACCACAGATGGCCAGGACAAGGCGGTGTTTTCAAGCACTCTTGTCCACTGGCCACACAAGGCATCTAACGAGAGCCTGTCTCTCCACGCTCAGACACGTCTCTCTCCCCCATCACCTGCGTTTTGGAGAGGCCATGGCAGGGCGAGGTGCTGGGACAGCACCCAGATGTACAGATCCCAGGGACTGCTGACCCTGCCACTAGGGAGAGCAGTGGGAGCAAAACACTCAGTGGCTGCAGGAACTTTTATTCTAGCTTAAAAACAAAAGCAGTAAAGCTGTTGGCTCCGGCCTCTGTTTTTGTAGAACTGCGACCTGCCTTCCCAAGCTGTCTAGCTGATGCCAGGGGCCCCTTCCCACGGAGCTGACTATCCATGACCCAGCTTAATGTAGGCGGAGTGTCAAATAACCTTGTCCCGGCCCGGCAGTGGCCAGGCAGAGTCAGCTGGCCCCAGAGGGAAGACAGAAACCAAAGGAAAATGTGACGTAAGGCTGGCTCGCTTTTTTCTAACTGGTTTGGTATGAACTTGATTGCTTTGCTTTAAACCGCACTGTAGAGGAATTCCAAAACAGTAGGGTCTGGTATTCTGGATGACACACGAGGGAAGCTCAGAGGCCCAGCTAGGCTGCAGAGAGGATGTGGCCATCAGATCACGTGGCAGGGGGCAAGTGAGGGTGTGCCGGCGGGGCAGGGTGCTGGTTAATAGAGGGCCGGGAAGTGGCGCTAGCTGGGCATGCCCTGTGTGCACAGGAATGACGATGTGGTCACCTCCGTGCACTTGGGAGGCCCCTGAGGGGACTGAGGAGGGGTCGGCCTTGCCAGGAAGTCACTCCAAATAGTTCCCACACCCTCTGGTCGAGGAGGGCTGGGCTCCAGGCATTCATTTCACTTCTTTCACTTAAGGCTCCGACTTTTGTCCAAATACACCCCCAGCCTGGGAAGGGGCACCCAGTGTGGCTTATCTGGTTCTTGCCCTAGTTCCATTTTCCCATGGGAGGACTGTGATGACACCCTGCCCAAGAGCAGGTCTGAGGGTTGGTGGGAGGGGAGATAGGGAAGGGCAGAGGGTTAAGACGGGAGGGGAGGAAGGGAGGGACATACAAGGGGGTGGTTGGGGGGACGGTCAGCTCAGCCCCTGCTACTTCTGCCCCACTGCCAGGACCTGGCCGGCACAGCTGGCCGGCACACCATCTGCCCCCAGGGCCATTCTCCCTCCTCCGCTCCCTCTCACACCTGATTTGGTCGGAGCCGATTTAGAATGCACCGCTGCCAAGGTGATGGTTACTAAGTACCGAGGTTTTATCTGGCACCGGGCAGCAGCCCCTGAATAATGGTGGGCTACCTCTCCTACCCCTCCCCTCCTCTTCCCACACGCTGTTCCCACCCATGGGCCGGATGTTAGCAGTTTCCAGAACATACAGATCCCAGAGACCCTTTGGTGGCTACGTGAAAAAAGAGGAGTATACAGAAAAAGAAAAGCTAAGCGAGGGAGGACAGAATAGGGCACTTTCTCTTTTACGGAGAGTGGGCCAAGTCTGCTACGGTTGGGATAATTCCCTTGTCCTAAGAAATCAGTCAGTTGAAATGTACATCTACGTCTCTCTACACATACACCCCCACACCTACACCCACCCTCCCCACACACACACGGGTGCTGGTTTACATAAGTATAATGTGACTAATGTACCAAAGACTTAGACATGATAACGGCAGGTTTTCTACATTGGTGAATGTTTTTTAAAATTGTTGTCCTTCTGTTGCAAAATAAACCCAAACGTATTTGAAGACTTTTGTAGCTGATGTCCTGCGCTTTTGACAGTTGCACTGCATTTCCAAGAGTCCTTTGGGAATTGTGCAGGGGCACAAGGGCCCTGTCCCGCCACCCCGAGTTGTCTGCTTGTGCAGGGTCAGCAGACAGTACACGAAGAGCCCATGATGACCGATAACCGGGTGTCCCTCTCCCCCCAGTGTTCCTCCTCCACAGAGGGGACTCCGATGTCAGAGTGAAGCAGTGATGGTGGCCTCAGCTGGGGCTGGCTCTCGTCACTCTCTCCTGGGGGTCCCTGTCTGCTCACTCAATACCCCATAACCTCCAACAGGTGCCAAGTGGCCACATTTCCTGCCCCATCCTCACCTCTGGCTTGTAGGCTTTCCGGAATCTCGATGGTCCATCCTGGCTGAAGACCTGGCCAGGCACACAACTCACCACAGCTGGCAGCCCATTCGCACAGGTGCCGTTCTTCATGGGGCCCCGCGACACCGGGGGGCCCAGCTTGCAGCTGGAGATGTGGGCCTCCGTGCCTGTGCAGTCCATGGAGTACCGCCAGTAGCGCTGCTTCTTCCGCGAGGCATACATCCTGCAGAGGGCGGGAGGGGACAGCTGACCAGGGCATCCTGCCACCCTCCCCTGATTCCTTCTGCAATGAGGCAGAACAAGACAGACTGTCCCTGCTCCTGGAGCTCAGCGCTGCCTTACAGGTGAGGCCCCTGCTGGGCACCACTCTGGGTACTGCGGAAGGACCCCTGGGGTGGCCGTGGCCTCCTGCCTTGAGGCAGCTTCCATTCCAGGAGAGAAAAGACGACCTCAGTGTCGTGAAATAAGAAATAATGACCCCTATTAATACAAAACGCAAAAGCGATCTGGTCCCAGAAAACCCATCAGTCCCAGGCAAACCAGAATGATTGGTCACCCTGATCTTCAAATAATTTCAACCTGGTTTGCTGTCATTCTGTAGCTCTATTTTCTTTTGTCAATGAGCAGTACCAGTTGATGTCTAAGCTCTCCCAATGAGGTATGCACAAGATTAAAGGTGTAAATCCAACAAGAAGTCAGGAGAACAGTCTTAAATGACTCCATCTGCTGAACCAAAGTACAGTTTCCTGAGTGATGGAAACTATCACAGTAACGAAACTCTGCCACAGACCTGGCACCCGGGAAATCAATGAGGTTGGGGTTGTCCCCACAGCACATCCTAGGGGAGCTCTTAGCCTGCATTTCTGACACTTGCAAAACATTCCTTCTGATGCTTTTTTTTTCTGAAGGCAGAATATAGATCAAGGTAATGCAAAGTTTTTTTTTCTAAAACAATAACCAACCAATAAGTAATATATCGGTTAACGGAAAGGTTATTGTGCCTCAGTTTCCTCGTGCCCAAATCAGAGGCAGTAACAGTATCTGCTTCGTCAGATGACGCTGACCCCAGACGGGGCAGGCGCAGTGTTGCAACCCTGCTGCTTGGGCAGCCCTGGGTTTTTGGAGCCAACAGGATGTGAACACAGAGAAGAGATAAATCCTACAGATGCCATCATCACCTTTCCTTAGCCAAAATTTGAGACTTACAAGGATTCTCGTGTACCTGTGATTGCGGGGGGTGCGTGTTCACCATAGCAGCAGCCCAGAGGAGAGAACTTCACAGGGGGGTTATTAATTCCAGGAACCACAGCCAGCCCTCCCCACTTCTTGCAATGCCCCTGAACTTGGAAGCCTACAGCTTGTTCCCCACGATGTCCCCACATTGATTGGGAGAACATGCTGGGACGAATATTGGTTGCACAAGGATTGGTCAGACCTCCCCGCCTGCCTTGGCTCAGGAAAACCCTTCTGCTTCCAGCTGTCAGTGAATGCCACCCTCTCCAGGAACAGATGTACTGTGCTCTGAGTAGAAAGCACAATGCCCACAGCAAACACAGGCCCTGGGCCTGCCGTCCCCAGGCAGCTGGGACCTCTCTTACATCAGCCCCCAGGAATGCGCCGCAGCCCACTCCCACCCCCCAGCCCCGCATCCCAGCGAGATCCAGGGCTGTCTACCGCCCACTCCAGACCCGGACATTAGAGGGATGACCCAAGTTGGGGGCGGCCTTCTGCCGAGCAGGAAGCCTGCTTGCTAGAGGTGTCAAGGCCCGCAGCTGGGCAGCAGGAAGGATGCTGAGCTGGACTGATTCAACTGAGAATGCAAAGTCCTGCTGGCTCTCCCTCAGCCAAGGCCAGATTTTGTGGGATGCTGCCAGCTGCTGAGTACGCCTATCCCCATAACGGTTTCCCAAACTGGGGAGATCACCATGAGATGGGTTGGGGGACTGCCTGGGCCCACTGTGAGACGGATGTGAGCTAAAACTCCACAAGTCCCTGCCCTGACGGTGGGCTACAGTGATGTTTTGGGTCTCCGGGAATTAGCGTCAGTTCAGAACCAGTGTCCAGTGTCTCTGAAGGTCTGATCATTTCCTTTTCCCCAGGGCACAGTCATCTTGGCAAAATGTCCCTTTGGAGAAAGCTCCAATGTCCCTTGGGAGGAAGAGCAACAGGATCAAGTTTTGGCCGTGCACCAAGGTTTTTCCTCGATTGGACCCAGGATCCCCTCTATTCAAGAGGTTCCAGATCTGTAAACTAAACCACAGATACCTCGATCCCCAGGCCAGCCCAGCCACAGCCCTCAGACTGGCTGGTGCTGTCCCAGGAGGATCAGAGCTGCAGTGGGGCCCTTGGGTGGGGACAGCAGTGGGGAGCCCTCCCTGCAGCAGGCCTGGCTGTCACGCAGGCTCTGACACAAGTGGGCTGTGCTCCCCCTGAGCCTGCTACCCTCCAGGTCTTGTCTCCTCTTGTGCAGCCCCAGGGCCTGGGCTGATGGTCTCCGAGCCTGGTCACACTCTGGGAGTCCTGGCTGCTTGCTGGCAGATTCCTTCCAGCCCGCTGCCACCTCAGCCCCTGGCAGCACCACCAAGGCATGAATCTCTTCCCAGCACTCTCTCTGGGGCACACGTAGGCCCAACTGTCAACTGGGTCGCAGAGACTACTCCAAAACAACAGAGACAAGGCAAGGAGGCTTTGCACCCTTCTGCCCCTGCGCTGGGCAGGCAGCCCCTCATCTCCAGCTAGAGGTCTGCAGGAGGGGCTGGTTTCTAGCAGCTTCTGCAGATCATCTCCCCTCTCACAGAGAGCCCCGCCCATGACCAGCACTGTGGCTGCCTCCCATCCGTGGGAGCCTTTTCCTCCCCCCATTTGAAAAGACAAAACCACAGATGTGGGGGTGGGGGGAGCAGGGAGGGGGTCTCAAATCCGGCGGCTGAGAGGATTAGCCAGGGCCCAGCTGCCAAAGCTGGCCTGAGGTCTTCTCCTTAAAAGCAGAGAAGGACTCTGCATGGTCCAATGCTACTGGAAGCCACTGATGGCTTTCAAATGCCATCTGAACATGGCGTGTGGTGCCCGGCTCAGGCCTGCAGCCAGGCGGGGGACACCAGTGGGACCAGCCAGGTGAGAAGCCTGACAGGGGAGGGTTTTGTTTCTCTTGGCTCCAATCAGTAGGAAAAGCTAAGAAGATGTCACCAGGGAAGGAGTTAGCTGGTGGGACTTCCCCAAAGTATTCAGTGGGCAAGGACCCCTGGTGCCAGCAGGGAGGTCGAGTCTGTGCCATGTCTGGGGGTGGTGGGGTCACAATCACCATCGAGGTCACCCCAGAGGTGTTGTGAGCCCACCAGTTGGGCAGCTCTGTGGCCACACTCACTCCCCCCGGGGTGGGCTGAAGGCTTGGACCAAAGTATGGCCCACCTTGGCTGGGCCAGGTGCAGGGAGGACGTAGGGCTGCGGCTTGCAGCCACCCTCCTGACTCGGAAGCCCTCCCTCTCCTTTCTCTGATTTGGAAGGAACAAGGCAGTGTATGAGTCTACACTCTCCAGGAGCGTAGACCCTATAGCCAGACGCTGTGCTTGAGGCCTGGACCTGCTACTTCCTAGTGCCATCACCTTTCTTCAGCTTCCTCAACCCAAAACCAGACCTCGATTTCCCAGTGGTGTTGCGAAGATTAAATGACCAAGAAGAGTTCCCGGCAGACAGGAAGCACTCACTAAACAGAAGCTGGTATTCCCTCCATGACGAAGGGGAGACAGGAAGCCCCCACTACCAGCCAAGCACACCCTACCCACCAGCTTTTGGGGTGCTGGAATCCTTTCACTGGACACTCCTCAGGCCGGATGTCTTGAAGTCCCCCTAACTGTCTACTTCTTTTCCCCCAGAGATATTAACCTTACAGACCATAAAAGCATCATCAGATTTAACTGGGATTGGATGAAGTGAACTGAATGAATTTGTTTATCAATTATCTAACAGTTGAGACAGTTTGCAGATTTCTCAGAATAATCACTTGCTAAGGGTAAGTAAACACGTCTTCTTGAGTTGGTGTTGTCTTTGCCCTGCCCGGCCTCAGTGTTGCCCACCCTTGTTCGGCCCACGCGGTCCCTGAGCTGGGCGTCAGCACCCGAGGTGGGGTTTCCTGGGCAGGGAGCCCCTCGCGCCTCATTTCTGCCCCACCCCACCTCGGCGTGCTCCAGAGGTTAGGTCTGTCTCCCCCAGGAGTGTGAGGTCCCCAAAGGTAAGGATGGCACATGGTGCCCTTGAACTCAGCCCTGACCTAGAACAGAGCTCCGCGCAGGCTCGCTAACTGGCCGCAGAAAGGCCACAGGCAGGGCTGACTCTTTTGACAAGGCAAGGAGGGCAGGTGCCCAGGAAGCCACCCCCTTGGCATGGTGGCCCTTACTTGTACACTTTGGCGTTGTACGTCTTCTCCGCGGGGAAGCCAAACATGCCGCAGACCACGCGGGAGTTCTTCGCTGTCCAGTGCTTGTCGCAGAGCTGCTTCCAGTGCTTGCCGTCCTTCACCTCCACGTAGCCCTCCGTCACTGGGGCGCGGTTGCGGTAGGCTGAGAGGATGGCGCGGATGCGGATGTCCTCCACCTGGATGTTCAGGTTCTGGGAAGGAGGGGGCACGGAAGGAGAGGGTCACCTTCCTGGGCTGGCCTTGGAGAGACACCGGGTAACCAGTTCTCCTTGGGTGACTGCAGGCCAGGCACCCTGCTGTCCCGCCTCCGCCCCAGGCCCTGCCATGGGCTAAGGGCTCTCCCCGGGAGCCCAGGGCCCAGCCACAGTTATAAAGCGCTATGCGTGGGAGGAAGTGAGGCTGCAGCAGCCTGAGGTGGGAGCGGGGTGACCTGGAGGAGCCAGAGAAGACGTGGAGGACCCTGGGAGTCCCTCCCACAGCCTGCAGAAGAGCCCAGAGAACGGAGGGCAGCAGCCTCCTCCCACTCAAGTCTCAAAACAAGAGCATGAGATAGAAAGTGTTCTTTCAGTTCAGAGTTTGCATCTTCTGAGCATGTGCGTGCGTGCCTGAGTGTGTCTCCCCCACTAACTGTTCAGGAAAACCGGAGTTTCAGGCAGAGGGGCCCCCGATATTCTGGAGCAGGCGGTGCCACCTTCGTACTAGTTCACACCCCAGAGGTCGGCGTTCGTCTGCTCAAAGTCCCCAGAGAGGCCCGGGAGAAGGGGCAGGTTTTGGAGAGAAAGGAGGCGGAGGCTCCCAGTGCTGCGCACATGTGGAGGGACACGCGCCTGCCTAGCAGTTGATGGTGGCTTGGGGACCAGGGAGAGAGGGAGGGGGACAATTATTTGGCTGTGGCAAGGAAAGAAAAGTTACCAAGCACCTTGAGCCCCTTGGAAAGCCCCCTTCTCACACCCACGCCACCCCTGTTTCTGTGGCAGTGAGGGAAGGAGGCGTGAGTGTCGGGAAGGACTCACTGGCGGGACCCCTCGGGAGGAAGTGCAGGAAGCCTGCCTGCGTTGGTGGAAGGGAGGAGGGCGCCTGTCCCCCTGCCACGTGGGCTCTCCTCCTCCCTCAGCAGGGGGCTGGAATGTCTCTGAGTCCCAGGGGTTTGGCAGGAGAAGGGGCCTTAAGAGGCCAAGCTGGGTAAGAGGAACAGGGGGTGGGGGGTTGCCTGGAGTTACAGCGACACTTTCTGTGCTTTCCTAAGGCACGACACAGCAGTCTCCAAGTACTCTGGATGCTCCCTCCGGAATCTCTCACGCCAGCCCTTCCTCTTTCTGCCCCTGTCCCTGCCCAAATGGGGCCATTAGCAGCTCTTGCAACAGTCCCAGACTGAGTCCTCGCCTCCATCTGTTGGCTGCAGGGCCAGCCACCAGAGAGCTCTTTCTACAACACAGATCTAACCTGTCCCTTGACTGCTTCCTTGCTGCCTGTGTAACAGCCAATACTTAGCGAGATGCCCCCACCCTGCGGGACTGATTCCACCTCTGCCCCCACCCCCTCGCCATCTCAGCTTCAAGTAGACCCTCAGATACCACGAGCTGCAGAGTATGATAGTGACAGCTACCTCAGAGTGCTGACCAGGTGCTGAGGCTTTGCAAAGTGCTTTCTGTGCGTCTCTTTCTTACTCCTCAAACGCTGTACTGCGGTGGTTTATGGCTACTGTCATCCCTATTTACAGATGAGAAAACCAGTTGACTCCGGTTTCCTCCCGGGGACCACCGTGCGGTGCAGTGGGAGACACGCACTCTGAGCTGGGCCAGGCAGGGGCGGGGGCTGGTCCCAGCAGGGCTGGAGGGAGGAGCCCAGCAACCCGAGTGGCCTGTCCCTGTCCAGCCAGGATGCAAATGAACCGTCAGGTTGAACAGAGCCATTCTTTGGGAGCCCAGGGATTCACACCTCCTAGCCACTGGCTTCAGGGTCCCAAGCCAGGCGCTGCCTCACAAGCCCTGCCAGGCGGTAGAAAGCATGTGGGCCTGGAGGGCTGGCATCTGGCTCCACTTCCTTTCCACGCAGGGCGAAAGGAAAGCTGCCAATGGCAGGATTATGTCTTCCATCCTGGATTCTTGACAACCCTCATTCAGGCCGCAGGACCCGTGCCACCAAGACACGTGGACAGACACGAGCCAAGAAAGGGCCTGAGGTCTCAACCCGGCCCATGGCCAGCTCCCTTCTGCCCCTCTCCACCTCGGGAGCCGGGCTGGGTTCCAGGCCGCGACTGTAATGCCAGAGGAACGTCGCCACCCGCAGCACCAGACACGCGGCTTCGCGAGCGAGCAGGTTCGCCGACCTCATTCATCCGCAGACCCCTCCCCTGCTGGGGGGCGGCAGTGCAGGCTCACTGAAGAGGGGAGGTGACCCCCGGCTCCTGCTGCAACAGAAGGAGGAATGCCCAGCTAGGGGGGCTCAGCAGACCATGTAGAGAAGGGCCACGGTGACCACGGGGCCTGAGGCCAGCACACGCCGACCCAATAGCCAAAGGAGCCTGCACCTCTCCTGCCCTGATGCGGGACAGGCCCCTCAGCAGAAATATGACTGGAGGGACAGCGAGGGGGGGTCCAGGGTGGGAGCAATGCAGCCTGGAAAAGAGAAAGGGCTAGAGCCAGGTGTCATTGTCTGCATTTCTCCACCGATTAAGTGTGTGTGTGTGTGTGTGTGTGTGTATGTGCATGTCTCTTTCTATATGTGTGCATGGTAGTGTGTGTAATGTGTGTGTGTTTGTGTCCATGTGTCGTATAAGCCTCTGTATGTGTCTGTATATGTATGCGTGTCTCTGGGATTGTGTGTCTTGCAAGTACTTGTGTGCGTGACGATGTGCACGTGGCAGGGTTGTGTGTGTGCACGTGTGTCATGTGGGTCGCTGCATATGTGTCTGTGCACGGTGGCGTGTGTGTCTGTGTATGTCTCTGTGTGTGTCTGTAGGAGTGTGTGTCCGTGGGAGTGTGTGTCTGTGTGGTGGAGGAAACATCAAAAGGGTCTTGTTTCCTCCGATGCCTTAAGAAAGCTGTCAGGACGGGCCTTGCTCTTGTTCTTTCAAACTGGAACGTCTCCTCTTCTCCCTCCAAGGAACCAACTCCTTTCTAGTCTATAAGGCTTGACTCCACCCCATGCATTCATTCATTCAACAAAATACAGCCTCCATGGACCTTGCTGGCTTCCTCCCCACACCCCAACCATAGCGCCTGTCTCCTCTTTGAATAATGACCACGATGGGCGTCACCCACCAAATACCAATTCACTGCACGCTTGGTTCCATGCACAGAGCTCCACATCCATTCCCTCACTCAATTTCCATGACAACCTTCACGACGGCAGATGTTATACCATTTATGGTGAAAGCACGAGACAGCTTGGCGAGCTTTTGCAACTTATCCTCATTCACACAGCCAACGAGTAGGTAAGGAAGGATGAAAACTGCGCTCTGACTCCCAGTCTGTGCTCCAGGCTCACAGTGGCCACTGGTCTCCAAGCAGCTCTTGCCCTCACACTGTGCCCCACACATTGCCTGGTACTGGGGCAACCCACACGGGGCAGGGCCTGGGGCTCAGACTTGGGCGGCTCCTTTGGGGCTCGCCTGGTGCTGTGCACATTGGACGTCCAGGGCCCCCCGCAAGGAGCCGTGAGTCAGACGGGATTGTGTACGTGAGGGAGAGCCGGGCTTCCCGCGCTCCTGTCCTCGGGCCAGCTGGCGCAGGCAGGGAAACCTTCTGTGGCACACACCCAGCGCTCACGCCAGCTAAGCAGCTCAGAGGCTGCTCGGAGACCTCTCAGGAAACACATGCGCGCAGGCGTAACTCCTCCCTTACTTCACTGGTGTGGAATCCCTTCCATAACCACAAGGGTTAGGAATTTTTTCCCAGGAGTTTAGTCCCAAAAGAGAAGAGAAGCTTTGAAACACTAAAATATACACGTTCTTCTTTTTTAACAAAGAGCTCTCTAGGCTTGCTAGTTTAAGATGAAGCCCAATACCCCAGAACCTGGCCGAGCATCCTGTACATTTTAAAATTCAAACTTAAACCTGAACGTTGTCCCTCTCACCAGAGACAACCGCGCACCCAGGCCTTCAAAGGACTTCCCTCCAAGGGAGTCACAGAAACTCCCTGACAGGTGATCCTCTCAGAACTCACTGCATCCTCAGGGAGGGCCTGAGGTCCTGGGAGTGACTGCCACCCGTTTCTAGAAGGGAAAACAAAAGGGCCCAGCCAGGCAAGGGCTTGCCCACTTCAGCCCATAGGTTGCAAGGGGATAGAGCACGGGGCTCGGACTCCCAGGCTTATGCCTGAGTGACATTTAACATCTGCAGCATCTGCCAATGACTTGTAAATCCCAGAATGTGACAGTCTGGGCCTGTGGCCAATGAGGAAAAAAACCGCCTGTTTGGAAAGTCCAGCTGGAGAGCGCATCAGGAAAGACGCAAAGACACGCAAGGCAGGCGAGCCTGCAGGAATCCGCCTCACATTTTTCACCAGCTCTGCACTAGGCCTACTGCCTCCTGGGAGGCACGTTGGCAAGGCCAGATCTTAGCCCAAATAGCTTCTTTCTTCCCTCTCTTCTAGAAGTCGTAGTTTAATATCAGCCCAGGCCTTCCCACCTGAGCAGTCATCTTTGGGGTGGCGTTGGGCGGGAGCGCCATGTTGGGGAGACGCGCCATCACGCCAACATCCCAGCTAGAACGTACGACCGGTCAGCTCTACGCAAGCTCTGCTCACTGAGCGTGCTTCCTCCCGCTCCTGCTAACCAGCTACTGCATCTTGCTCTCACGGCCCTCAGCTTTCTTTATTTGGCTACTTAAAAACAAACCAAAAAGAAAAATGGTCTTCCATATACAGACCATCGCACGGAGCCATTGAGGGGGCTCCTGCCCTCCAGCTTGGCAGACTGCAAGCCTTCATCGCCCCCTCTCTTCCTTGCTCTCGAAGCCTCCTGGGCTACAGCAATACCTTTTCTGCCTTCCATTCCTACTTCTATTTCCCAGTCAGGTGTGCAATGAGAATCGTGCAAACAAAAGAACGGCTTTATAATTCTGTCATCTCACTCAGGCACTTTGCACTGTCCTCAGCTCTGGTTTCATCACAGATCCAATCCTCTGATACCTTCGTCCACTTTACCTCCGGTGTCCTGCTCAGATCTTCCTGGTTCCCCATCCTGTGCC